CGTGAGGGGGTGCTAAGGGAGTTATTTTCAGTCACGAAATAACTTGGGGTATTCGGCTCGGTTTATGAATCCTCATCACCATGAGAAATCACCATTTTTAGAGGGTTGCATGGACTTTGTGGGCTTCTGATACATTATTTAAAAGCGAAAATAAAAATATTTCCTTCACAACATTTCACTGGTTAGATCCCATTGAAAGGAATAATAAGGTTAATAAGAAAAAGAAAATAAGGACAGTTAATAAAAGATTAACTACTAAGCCAAGAAGCCACACAAGTCCTTCTGCCCTTGCTGTGCAAACCTTTCCTCTTTAGCGACTTGACATTTTGAGGATTTGCTTTCCAGAGGATGCCCATTTAATATTCACAAAGAAAGTTATGTGATGGAAGCTTGTTAACTCTGAGAACAGAGAATAAACTGTCCAAGCCACCTCACCTGACACAATTAGGCTCTGAGTCATATGTCAAATTACCATAAGCAGCTCCAGCACTCTCTGTGTCCCCCCTGCGACATCCCTGCAAAGCTCCAGGTGACTTTTTTGGCTTCTGCTTGTAATAAATTAAATATGTAAGTAAGAGGCATAGATTAAGCCATCGACCTTCCATCATTGGAACTATAATAAAATTTTTTCAAAAACCTCACTTATAACTCTGATAAAACCGTGCTAACTCTAGTCCGAGAACAGGGCCACGAACTCAAAAGATTAATGAAGTTGACTGGGCAGGGATGATAGAAAAGGGACACGCCCTGCCTGACGGGAGAACCGTTACGAACCCTGGCCATGACAGCTGTGGCCGAAATGCGGGCTCAATGATGCCAGCATTTCCGATTTTTTAAGAGAAGCCAGAAATTCATATTTCATGTAAAATCTTCTGATTTATAAATGTGTGCAACTAATTCAGTTTTAAAAATTCTGTTATTGATCTGGAATCTAGACCCTTAAATCTGTTTCTAAGCCTGAAAGGGAACTTAGAGTAATGAGTTCAACACCCTCATTTTACAGATGGGAAAAGTGAACCCTAAAGTAAACAACTGATTTTCCTACAGGCAGGTAATGAGTTCGGCAGCAGAGCCAGGTCTAGAAAGATCTGCGTCCTGCCTGACTTTTCATTCCATGAATGAGAAAGTTAATGGCTTTAGGCCTAAGGGATTTTTGTTGTTGTTGTTGGTTTGTTTTTTTGTGCTAAACTTTTTATTTTATATTTTCTTTTCTATTTTTATTTTTATGGTGACATTGGTTAACAAAATCCAATAAGTTTCAGCTGTACACTTTAACAGTAAGGCATGTATATGTTTACACTGTGTATTCACCTCCCATAGTTAGATTTCTTTCTGCAAATTTGACACATATTTGACCCCCTTTATCCCATCTATCTTCCCCCTCCCACCTCCCCTCTGGTGACCACTAGTCTATTGACCATAAGTCTCTGTTTGTTTGTCCTGTTCATTTGTTGCTTTTAGGTTTATATCCCACATATAAGTGATGTGATGTTCAACTTTTTCTGTCTGGCTTATTTCACTTAGCATGATTATCTCGAGGTCCATCTATGTTGTCGCAAATGGCAATATTTCATCTCTTCTTAGGCTAAGTAATATTCCATTGTATATAAGCCTAGTTTTAACAGTTAGTAGATCCAAGTCTGGCTTACAGCGCACCCAGAACATTATCAGTTTATCATTTGTTTTTATTCTTTCTGGCTTCTGGACAACGTATGTGAGGCATTGTGCTATTATATGAGGCTATAGAGTAGTATAAGGGCAGGGCGTTTTTGTTCTAAATTGATTTTCCCCTCACCTGGAGCATAGCACTGCCGCATGGCTCTACCACATGAAAGGAGGGGCTAGCATGTTCCTGTAGGGGAACAGGATGGTCGTCAGTCCAAGACAAGCAAGGCTCACTCAGCAGGAGAAGACTAAGTACAAAACTTACATTCACATAACACTCCCATTAACCTCAGTGGGAGTTGTGCTTACAGGAATTGCAGGATCAGCAGTTGAATGGAGACTGGAATGAAGCCGTAAAGCTCAAGTCATAGGTTATTATTAGGATTGTTTAATTCTAGCCTCATATTTGCAAAAGATTTCATTTTTATAATTGAGTGAGATCTCTTTTACAGACACTTAGGGTAGAGTCTTCAAAGGAACCCTTGTTTAGACTCAAATTGTGTGCAGTTGAAGAAACTTGGCAAATTGCAGAAGTTAGGATAGGTGCCAACGAAGTTTAGAAAATATGCTTAGCTATTTTTGTCCCATTGGCCCACAGGTTTCATAATATTCCATTGTTAGTGATCTGTGCCTAGGATAGTACCTCGTACACTTAAGTATGTATTTAATTAATATTTAGTGAGAAAATGAAATAATGGATGGATAGGTTCACGATCCTTGCCAAACTGATTTAGCGGATCTCCCAACCTAATAAGGCAGAATTAGTGACTACTTTGGCTGCTTCCTTGGAGCCATCCAAGGAAAGAATTCGAGGAGCAGGTTCTGCTGCTATTTTGGCACAGACCCACACCCGTTTTAGCTATGCACGGCTGGAGGTGCTGAGGGTGGAAATGGGGGTCCCTGTTCAGGCTATTGCAGGGCCTCTCCCAGTAAGTAACCTGAAAAGCCTCAGCAGGCTTCCATGATTTTTAAATAAATCACCCCCTGCCCCACGATAATGGACTGAAAATACTGTATTTGATATAATAATCAATTAAGAGAAAAATCTGCTGCTTGAACTCTTAAAGTTCAGTATCTTTTGAAAAGGCTTATGACTAGGGAAGAATTAGGCCCCATTTTTGTGTCTCTGCTGTTAGGGAACATGTTAAAATGCATAAAGTGATGGCAAAAGGTTACGAAGTGTATAATCTAGGTTCTAGGTAAATGGATAGTTGCCATAATTCTTTAAAACTTTTCTGTATATTTGAAAAAACTGTCATAACAAAACATTGGGGGGAAAGTTGCCTGCTGTCAAAAGAGCTACAGGCAGCCTCCTCAACCACGCTCTGACAGCAAAAGAGGCACTAGTCTTCAGCTGGTCCTGACATCACATACCGGTAAGAACCATCTAGATCTAAACTAATAATAATCTAAATAAGGTACCACGTGTTCTTCAAGAAATTTCACACTGTCGAGGGAACAAACGCACAGAGATGTTAAATGATGTTCTCAAGGCCAAAATGCTAAGCAGCAGAGTTGAGAGGGGGGGGAAAATACATTTGGCATCAATTTTTAGCTCTTAATCATCATTCCATATTGCCTCTCACTCTCGAAGGAGAGCTATCCTCTCTTATAAGGGTTTTACATTCCTAGTTGTATATTACACCTATTTTAAATATTTAAATAATTATTTATGGCATTTTTTTTCTGGGCAAAACATATCCACTTTAATTTTATATTGTCTAATACATATCTTTTATAGATTCTAAGTCAAATACAATTCTTACAATGTATATTTTTGTTGGAAAGTCATGTATAAAATACGTTATTAGGAAAAGAACAACGTGAATCTCTATATTCTGGCCCAATCTTATCATTCAGCATCTTTTTTGGGGAACTAAGAGTTCAGAATGACAAGTGAAAGGCTAATACCTCCTTCCCCTAAATTCAGAAGAGCTTATAAGCCAAATAATCAGAAAACCTTTCTTCTCATCATTTCCTCTCTAGTAGGACAACCTTGAGCTCATGGATAGTGAAGTATGCTTAACCCCAGCTATACCATTTTAACTAATGCTGCCATTAAATTAGGTTATGACTGGGTAAATATTGAACTCTAAAATCAAGAAAGCACTGTTTTCTTGAACTCTCAATATTGAACTCTAAAATCAAGAAAGCACTGTTTAGAATCAGTGCTTAAAAGATATCACCCAGTCCTTCCTTTGGTCTGTAGTAGTAAGTCAGAGTCGAGCTGAATCCATTAGTAATCTGAGAATTTCTCCATTTTTAACAGCTGTGTTAAAAGAGAAGTCCATCTCTGTAGAATCCATCCTGATGTTTCACAAGGCCTAAACATTCTCATACCCCTAATAAAAAAAAAATCTCTTGGGCCATGCCAGTTCCCCCTGGTGTTTGCGCACTGAGCTCAGGGCAACTGGCCGAAATTTTCTAATTAAAACTCTTCATTACTTGAAGGTTGTTACTAAGAAATGAACTAGCAACTTCCCATGGCAAGGAGCATCTTTCCATGTCCTCCAACGAAGTCTTCAAGTACAACTGGACTTCAGTTTATTTAATCATACTTGAAATCCTCCTTAATGTTCTTAATTTCTAATGATGTAATCTGCCTGGCAATATTCCTTAATCTTCTTTAACTATGAAAACTAGAACTAAATCTAATACTTTCCTAAGGTACCTTATAAAGGAAAAGAAAACCCACCAATCTCCCAGCTCTTCTTTTAAAAATTATCAAACTCTTTTCTTGATCTGGTTAGAATTTACTATAGTAATCATTATGTTGCTATTTATTAGGATGACCTGAGGTCAAAAAATTTGCTAATTATTCATTACTTTTCTACATTCAATCTTTAAAGAGTATTTGGTTTAAAAGATCAGTTAAGAGCACTCCTACCAAATTTCTTTTGGCATGATTAGCACAATTTCAGTAGGAACTTTGTTTAATGATCAAACATGCTAAAAAGTCTAAAAGTTGCTATGCAGGTCAGAATGAAGATGTTTTTCCTGAGACTCTGCCAAGTCTCACTTCTGAGGCCTTTCCTGCCCCAGTGGTCAAGACTGCTTTGCAGTTCCATTTATGACCACTAGGTGGCACCAGAACATTGACTTAGTTGAGAGAGAAAAATTGCTTAACAAGTCCTTAGGTGATTTGCTGTGAATCCTTCATTAATACCTTCTAAAATTAATTCATTTCTTTTTATCAGTGATCTAGAATGTGGTGGCTTTTTGCCATTTATCCTTTCTTATGGTCTGTGTCACAGGGAAGAGCAGGTTAAACGACATGTGTAACTCATTCCTTAGCCTCCAGCCCAATGTCTTCAGGCTAGCTATAGTTTTAGCAGCTATTTTTGTGTGTCACGGCAGCCTCTAGCAACACTGGGGGAACATCTGGACTTCATATTGTCAGACTCTTCTGCAAGCTTGAATGGATCAGTGATTAGAATCTGTCAAAAGGCAAATAAAAATGAAAGGACAAGTTAAAGGTATTTTGGTTTAATTTAATTGATTTACATAGAAGGGAGATAAAATTTTACAGTTGCTTGGGGTCCTGGGAGTTGCATCAGCCATTCAGTTATAAAAGTGGCTGCCTTTCTCTGAAGATTTTAATCAAGTTATTCTTTTGGAACTGAGATAGTTACATGCTGAAACTTCTTCCCGTCCCGTACTCTAACCTCCAGGAACACATGTGCAAGACAAGGTAAAGCCCAGATACCAGGGCCATCATTAGCAATCGCCGATGTTAAGATGTTGAGATTGCCAATAGCCAGCAAGATCTCAGCGCGTAGTGAGTGGAGTTTTCAAAAGAAAAGATGGCAGTCTTTACTTTTCCTCCTGCCATCTCCAAATGGGATGCCTCAAACGGCAGTGACAGTGGGGCCAATGAAAAACCAGGCACGAAGGTAAGAAATCAAGAGCGTGAACAAGCCACCTTAAGTAATGAAAATGAATTCATTAAACATATATTTATACTCTTACTATTTGTTGGTCTCTGCAAACAGAGGCGTATACAAGAGAGGCACAGACTCTACGTTTATGAATGACAGTCCATGGCCCATTCCCTTTAACTGAAATAACTTACTGATGGCCTTGGCCTCTGGATCTGGGCTTCCTAACAGGCAGATGAGCATCCAACAGGGACTCCCCAAGCCTAAAAGAGGGCTGGTGATGCCGGCTGGTGATGCCAGGCCTTCACATTCATTGTATTTCTTCTTCTCAATGCACTGGAATTCCTGGTCAGAAGAGTTAGCTTCTCCTCTTCTTTACCCAGGAAAATGATTTTCTTTACTCTTCTTCCCACTCCACATCCTTTCTACTAATAGAAGATAGAGATATTAAATCACTTCCAAATGTATCCTCCCAGCCCTAAAAAAAATCTCGAGACTTAAAAGAAATAAAAGGTGAGACATCAATAAGCAGTCCTTTCCAGCACCAAAATCCTGTGATTCTATGACAAGTACAAATACGGAGAGGTAGTACAGCATACTGGGCAAGAATATCAGCTCTGGAAAAATACGTGGGTTCAAATTCATCACTTTCGAGCTGTGTGACCTTAGATTAGTAAATCAATCTCTCTGAGCCTCTATTTCTTCATCTATAAAATGAGGATAATAAGATTTATTGTGAAGACTAAATGACATGGTGCCTTAGACATAGTACCTGTTCAATAGAGGTCCCCTGTATCACTACTACTGTTGCTTGTGTCATGTTAATTGAAGCCAGACAATACATAGCATGAATCCTAGTCTTGTCATTTCAGATGGTACAGTGTTACGATAATATAGTTTTGAATGGCAAAATATACATTGCTTGTCAGGATTTTAAAAGGAGGAGGAGGAGAGAGAAGAAAGAAGAGAAAAAGAAGGACTCTCGAAACAGTCATCATGGAGTCAGTCCTCAAAAGAGACTTCATCTTTCATTCCTCTCTCTCTCTTGCAACAACCAATGGGAAGATGTAAGTACGAGCACGTCCCTGCACGCTGCCTGTCTGCACTGTACTTGAGGGTTTATCATAAAAGTCTGCCATAAAAAAGATATAAGCGTCCTCCCCCAAGGGCACAAGGGCATATTTCTAGGACATACCAGCTGTTTCATCCTTTAAATCTTCCTTCAGTGTCAGTTATTCCTATTTCAAGAACTTGGAACTGCTCTAAAGACATTGGCACATCTGCAGGCTGAAAAAAATAAGGCAGAATAGAAGGGGGACTGTTGGGATAAACCAATTCGAATACATATAATGTTACAATCCATATCTGAGGCTTCAAGAATCATCCACTGGGGGTCTTAGAACATATCCCTCTTGGATAAGTGGTGGGGGGGACCGCCATATAGGTAAATGTATAATATTCACATGGAACAGGTCTTTCTAATCATAACATCAAAAGCAGAAACTATAAAGGAAATTACTACATAAAAATTGAAACTGTCTATCCAGGGAAAAAAGCAAATCAAAGATAAAAGACATACTGAGAAACATATAATAGACAATATATATTGCAACATATAATAGACAATTTCTTAAAGAGCAATAAAAAAGTAAATATCGCTCTAATGGAAAATGGTTAAAGGAATCATATAGGAAGTTCACAATAGATGAAATATAATTAGTCAATAGATATATCAAAAAGTTCAATATAAGCAAAACAAAACAACAAATTATTTTCTGCCTATCAGACAAGGAAAGATTTTTTAAAAGAATACTTAATATTAGTAAGAGTACAGGGAAAAGTTATTCTCATACATTGTGAGTAGGCATATAGACTGGTACAATCTCCCTGGAGGGCAATTTGACTATCTCTGTTAAAAGATTTAAAAATAGGTATGTTTAATTTGAATAATTTTTTTCCAAGTAGCTCTTAACCTTTTTTGTATCTGGACCTCTCTGAGAATCTGATGAAAGTAATAGACCCCTTCCTGAGAAAATACACACATACACATATAATTTTAAGGAGTTCACGGATGCTCAAATGTCCGTTCACAGATGCAGCAAGTCAGGAATCTCTGATTCACTGTCAGAATTGAAAAAATGAAGTTATGAAATTAATTCAAATAATTTTATAGATACGAATATGCTAGAAATAATTTATGATGACCAACTAGAAGAATAATGATCTGTTTCTTGCCTTAGCGGTCTGTGGCAAACATAATGACTTTTTAAATGGTTCTCTGAGGGTCGAGAATTGAAAACAAGCCTTTGATTCTAAAGCAACTTCTCTCCAATTGGTCTGATCAGAAGATCTTGGTCAGATGGTGAATTCTTCAGATTGCTGCTGTTTCCTTGTTCACTTTGACAATTTCTCCCACCTGAAAGGTGCATGAAAAACACATTTTAAGAAATGCCACTTTAGCCTCAATACAAGAAAAACACCCAGAAGTTTTACTATTGAGTGGCATTTCAGGATAAAAGACAACACTTTCTGACATGGAATTCACTCGTGTTCAGACCTAGCTGTCAGTTTCATGCTTATTTCTGGATAGAACTGACTAGTGTCATAATCAGCAAGAAAGGACACTCATTGCTGCTCAGAGGCAACTATAGAAATCCACTGGTCTCTGAGCTTCATCTTATTCATCACTAAAATGAGGGCTTTGGACTAGTGGTTTTTAAAGTGTATTTCCATTAGTCCCAGGGTGCCTGGGAAGTGTGTAAGGGGCCCATGCCTTGGGAACCAGGAGTGAGCACAGGAGATTCTGATCTATACAACCCCTGCTCTGATCAGATAAACTCTGCTTTTATCCCTTCATATATTGAGGTTATGTAAAGCAATGCTTGACACAGAGTAAATACTGTTTTAAATAAGACTTTGCTTTAAAAAATAATTTAGCTATTAAAAATGTTTTTTTGAAAGCCACTAGGCCAGAGCAATGGGTTCAAAAGCCCTTCCCTCTCCAATTCTGTGACTCTTTTGGATCAGGCAGTACATCATGGGGCAGTGTATTGGTGAAAAGCATTAATGGGTTCACTGCACCAGGAAGTATTTAAGAAATTTGAAGATGTTATCTGAACAAAAAAAAAAAAAAATGAAGGAAATAGAAAATCCTCTCATCTTGGAAAAAAAATAACTCAGTATCTTCTCTTTACTGAGTTCCCATGTACGAATGTATGTACAAATGTTTTGTTACATTATTGCTAACCTTTATAAAAATTCTGCAAAGTAGGTATTATCCCTGCTTTTACACTGGAGCAAATTGTATCTCGAAGAATTTTGGTTACTTATTCAAGTTGACCCAAGTAATAAATAATAGAGCCAGAATTCGAAACCAGGTATCTGATTCCAAAGCCTGCACTTTTCCATTTTAAGGAAACAAAACCTACTCTACAAAGAATAGTAGAAATGTCACCACTAAATGTGTCACCATTAAACACAACAATTCCTTAATTCTGTGATACAATTAAACAACTGAAATACTATTATGCAGTACTCTGATTTTTTTTCCATTCTGCTTTTCTATAATTCTATTAATCTGATGTCTGAATGATGCTTTTTATAAAACAAATAAAATTTCTCAGGTGTGGTAATGGTATTGTGGCTACTCAGGAGAATATTCTCAGGAGATGCATGCTGAAATATTTAAAGGTAAAATATCATAGTATCTGCAACTTACTTTCTTACTTTCAATGGTTCAGCGCGCGCGCGCGCGCACACACACACACACACACACACACACCCAAAAAGTGAGAAGCAATGCAAGGTTAAGAAAAGGTACTTGGAGTAAGGATAAAAACAGAAGTCATGAAATTTTTATTTACCTTAAATGTGAAATTTGCATCAAATATTGGTTCTTTTTATGTCCTGTGAGTCCTCCATTGTAAATAACTTGGCATCTTTTGTCTGGTCCTGTCTCAGAGAGCTTGAAGAGGCAAAATGTTCAGAAACAGAATGATGGTCACCTAAAAACAGAATTCTCATGGTTCATCTTTAGCACTCGAACAGCTATTGGGTTGTTCAGCAGATGAAGAGCATACATATTATAAAGATGATTTTCTTCTTTACATGCCATCAATTATCTTTCTAGGCACCTCATTCCATTTACTGAATAACTTCAAAGTGCATTATTAAATACCAAATTTTAGGAGATTGCCATTAAACAGGAGATAAACATGGAAGTTTCCAGATGACACAGTCTCCTTCAATGAGACTCAGTAGACATTTGCTAATCACTAAATCTGAACCATTCAGGGTATAATTATAATATTCCCTGCTGTTGTTTCTTACCGATCACTCTTTCTAGTTCCTCGTCGTGAATCATAATGAGACTGACAGTGACCAAACGTGGAAGGCAGAACCTAGATTTGGGGGCAAGGATGACAAGGTCCTTCCAGTACAAAGTATCACCTAGGCACTCACCTAAAAATAGAAAAATTGCAGACCAATCAATACAACTAGGTATTCAGGGAATTACTCTTCTACATAATTGATTAGGATATGGTATTAGTTAAAACATAGGTCCTAGAAATAGAGGACCACCTGAATATCCCCCCAAAGTCCAGAAAGTCAAGGTTAAAATTGAGTATGCTAGCTAATGATCTCTAGGAACCATTCTTCAGGACAGTCACCAATGTAGCGGTCCTATCCAGCTGCAATCAAAATATTCATGTATGTATTAGGTCACATTCTAGAAAGTAATATACTATGTAAGTAAAAAGGCATAAAAGAGAAATTACAAAATAGCTTGTTAGCTCCAGATTAATATCATAATGATCGGCTATTAGAACAACTATTAATGTTCATAAGGCATTTTACAGTTTTTTTATTACATCAACAAATTATAAACAATCTAAGTGATCAATGATAAAGAAATGGTCAAATAAAGTATAGGTCTGGTTGTATAACACAAACATTTAAAGCATATTTAAAATTTTCTAGGCTTAGGAAATATGCAAAATAAAATTAGAATACTAAGTTCTATAAGAAGCATGCCCCAATTTTATTACACACACACAGAAAGAAAAACTAAAAGGATATGTATTAAAATGTTAAAGAGGTTATTGCTGGGCTATATGATTAGTTGCAATTTCTTTTTCTTTTTTGGATTTTCCAACACTTTAACCATATTCATTTATTATTGTATAT